ATGACCTTATCATGTCACCAACAGGATGGTTAGATGGTACAATAATACATGAGGCTCAAACCATCTTACGGCAAGTCAATAGCAGCATACGTGGCTTCCAACGACCAACACTCGGGCCTATCAAGCAGTTTGATATAATGACTGGGGACTTTATTCAGATTTCGAACATCAATAACAATCACTGGGTGTGTGTCAGTTCAATTGCCTGCCCTCCTGGACATGTAAATTTAATGGACAGTCTTGCTAAGCCAGTAATTTCAAAGGAACTTAAGGAACTGGTAGAGGCTTTGCTGACTAGGCTCCTTTAACTTTTCGCTGCCATTTCAGTCAAGTGGTTCAATGCCTGGGCACAAATTAACAAGAGCTGCAGATACATTAATAATCCTGTCAATCACTGGTGTTGCTTCTTCCTGAGAGCCACCAGGGTTGGAAATTGAGAAATCAATTGGCAGAATTCCAGACAATATCGAGTACTTACGGCGAAGGAGGCCAATAACCCTTTCGACATGAATGCGAACATTTGCGATCCCCCTAGTTTTTTCAACATCCACAGGGTCAAGCTAGTCTTTTCCCTTTGTGAAAGCAGGGATGGCTAGTTGTGCTTGCTGAAACATAACACTCTCTGCGATGGTGAAACCACGGTCAGCCAAGACCAGATCCCCAGGCAACAACTTATTTAAAATTCCACAGTTCTCAGTTAAATATTTGTCTGATGTTCGTCCTCCCCAAGCTTGGGAAACATAGGAGATTGTACCTTGTGGAGTTATCCCAATCAGCACCTTAACAGTGTTATGGTGTTTGTGCGATGACCATGTCTGTGCTCTTGCGAGCAGATTTGATGGTCTATTAACAAATACTTTGAAACAATCAATAATCACGGTAGGTTTGTTTCCAAATGAATATTTAAAACACTGTGGCATAGTTCGCCATAAATCCTCACGTTCAGGCCAGTTGATAAGTCAGGGTTCGTACCCTTTTTTGGACTAAAAATTCAAGGACTTTTCAAGGACTTTTCAAGGACATATTTTTTATTTTTCAAGGACTCCACCAACTGCAAAATAAAAGAATGTTCACCTTATCATAGTAGCGATTGTGCCGAGCTTAAGTCGAGCTAAAAGTCTATGCCTTTTTTAGTTCATCCACAACATTCGCAATTTTGCACTCAAGGTCTTTGCGAGCTATCTCCTTTTCTTTTGCAGTTCTCCTCAAACTATTTGACTTTGTAATCCACACAAGTTTCCCAGTGTCCTCTGCTTTCTGTGCAAACTCGTCTGCCGATTTAACAAGATTGTCAACATCACTGTCTAAACGCCTTCTTTTCTTTTTAAGTTCGTCAAGTTCATCGACTAGCTCCTTTCGCTTCAGTTCTACACCCTCAGAGGTTTTCTTCCTCTTTTGTTCATCAAGATATGATAAATACTTCTGCCTAGCTCCTGCAGCTGACAAAAGAAGTGGTTTGTTGATTGAAACAGCAAGGACACCTCCCACAGATTGTACATGGTCTTGTACCAGCCTTTGAGCAATGAAGGAGCGCTCTTGGAGGTTCTCGACTTCCAGTTGCTTATTGACTGAGAATCCTCTTTCGACACTGGCCTGGCCATGTGATAATATCAGTAGCTCTGAGACTACTTTCCACAATGATTGGTAGGATCGCTTCTGTCCCATGTGAAGATACAGAAAGGAATCAAGTCTATCATTGTTAGGATCATAGTCTTTGAACTCCGACGGAGAAGAAGAGGGGACTTCCATAATGAATTGTCTAAATAGTTCCAAAAGGGAATCACATTCACCTTCCGGGACTTTCTTGGCATTTTCAAGGGTAGTCAAAACTCTCTTGAATTTTGTGATGGAAACATCATGGTCACTCATCATGTTTCTTGGATCTAAGCAATTTATATTCCTTACAAGGGAATACTGAATTGGTGCTTTGGCAATCAGTTTGCAAACTACTTTCATAAGGAACTCCTTGCATTCCATCTGAAACTGAAGCACTCTTTTCTCTGAAACTGTGGACTTTGCAATCGACTCCTTGATCTTCTTGTCAGCTGTAAACCCCAGGTCAATCTTGGAATGAGAGGCATGAATGCTGGAGTCAGCAGGGTCAAGTTTTGTAAGCTTCAATGGGGTTTTGGCTTCACTGATAACAGTGGTCTTAATAAATCTTCTCATTAATCCCCCAAGCATGCTGTACAGGTCTGTAGCCAGGAAAGGAAGCATAGGCTTGTCGGTTTGATAGAGTGTCAAAAACGGTGTCACTTGCTTGGCTACTGATAGGAAGAAAGCGACTTTTGCAGTCGTAAAGGGATCTGCAACAAACTCTTGTACAGTTTCAAAGGATTTATTCTGTGGCTGTGGAACTTTTCCTGCCCTTGCACTCTGAACATACTTGACAACACTGTCCCACATACTCTGTGTACGTTCTGCAACCAAGACATTCTCCAACCACCTATGTTTGCAGAACTTCAAAGCAAACAGTGAGTTTCCTGTTACTTTGGTGTAGTCCTCTCTCCTTGCCGGACTGTCCTGAAAAAGCCAGTGAAGGCTGGAGAACAACCTGTCTAACTGCCATCCTGATGCCACAGCACCATCCTTGAATGCTCCATGAAGAATGTGTAAACCACAGCTGCCAATGTTCAGCATGTGACTATTATGCTCCCTTTTTGCCTCATCAGTCAGCATACTGTAAAATTTCCAATTAACGTTGGGTCCATCCATTGACAACTAGTATGAGAGAAAACATTCCTTGTAATATTGAAAGGGAAACAGATTATTTAATTTAGTACTTGCATTACGTCCCAGAGTTCGTGTCATTGTCCACCTAGACACGAAGTGAACTAGTCATGGATGCATTGGAATTGTGAAGATTTGCAATGAAAGAGTGTTGATTTATTTAGACCTTAAAGGGCAGAAAACCAAGTAAGGTGTTTCATTTCTATTTAATACAATTTTATCGCTTTTTGGAACATTGGCTAGATTGTGAACGCACAATTTATATTACATGCAATAAATTAGATTAAGTAATCTTGCATCTTTCGCCCTTCTACAGCAAAATAATAACAGACATTGAAAGATTTTCATGTTAAAAAAAATTTAACGCAACTTCTTGTAATTATCGTTTGCCGGCGAACGATGAAATTAAATGCCAGTCATGAAAACAATATAATTGATTCCAATTTGATCACACCTTTTTAATAATGGCAAGACATAGGTCTTTCAAAAGAGTGGCAATATGACAAAGAATAATTGAAATTAGGTAATTGTGTGAAGACTAAGTTTGTGCTATTGCCTATTTCGAAATGTCGATAATTGAGGGTAAGAAATAATACAACTTCAAAGAAGCATATCTTGCAAACAATTTCATGGATTACCCAAACATAACGAGAGTTGCATCCTACCTGATAAACTTTTTTGAGAGGAATTCCTTCTATGCCTGAACGAAAATGAGAAAGCATGTCCTCTGCTGTTCCATGCCCCATAAACACTGAGGTATAATAGCGACTTTCAACTTCGTGTTTGTCATGATTCCATGAACGAATGTGAATATCCATTTGCTTTGACTGGCACACGCTATTCAGGCTCTCGTCAAACATAAGTACATAAGCTTCTTCTTTTTTCACAACGTCCTTCAAAAGTTGTTTGAAGTGTGGAGCGAGCCCAAAACAGATCAAGTATGCACATTTCTTTTCTCCGCATGTAAACTGACTCGCGATCCGACTGTCAGGAAACATCGCTTGAAACAATTTGCTCGTACCTTCGCATGATTTATAGGAGTAATGAGACATTATCACCTTCAATGCCCACAAAATTTCTGCTTTCAAAGTCTCATCACGAGTGACAATTCTTTCCATCACCGATGAACCAGATGAACTCGTAGTACTAGACTTTGTGGGGTTGAGCGTGTTGTGTTCGCCACTTTCAGACGAAGCGGATTTTGAAACTTCTTTGGCATCGTCACTTGTAGTTGCTGGTTGTTGAGAAGAAACGCCAAAAAAATCTGGAACGCTTGCTAATGACCTTTTCTGGGATGTCAGTGTTTGATGTTTTTTTCCTTTCAAGTGACTTGTGAGCGCTGACTCTCCCATGCTCGAAATGTCAACATCCTTCATACACACGATGCATCGTGCCTTGTGCTTGTCACCCTTGACTTCTCGAAGCCAATCTTTATACAGTGATTTCTGAAGCCACAAGTTGCTGAAAACACACTTGCCCATTGTTTTAAATCTCTCACTCGTGAAACAAAACGCAAACAATCAACACTAACCCAGACAAGGAAAGCACTCAAAGCACATGGCTTTTCTCAGAAAGAGGGAATAGTACAAAACATTTGATTGGCCCTTGACATTCGAGACATTCAACCAATCAGAGTGATTAATAGAACCAAGAACAGGACAAATGGATATGGGCGATTGAACGACATGCGGAGTGGCGTTACGATCGTTTGTTATTTGTATCTTACTATTATGTGTTGCTACGTTTGTGCCAGTTGCATATATTTTCAGATAAGGCACTCTAGAATCTAAGTTGGATTAAATTAGCTACAAATTTCAAGGACTTTCCAGCACTGACTACAATTATCAAGGACTTTCAAGGCCTTGAATTTTTATTTTGAGATTAAAGGACTTTCAAGGACTTTCAAGGCGCGTGCGAACCCTGATAAGTGGAGCCAGGCGTACATCTAGCACTACCATCCAGGATGAAAAAATCCTTGAAACTGTTGAAAGGGAGACATTGAAGCGATATGAAAGATCTTGATGTGGTGCGTCAAGTTTAAGTTTTATCAAAGTCATGACAAACTCTTGAAATGTGGTCAGATTCTGGGACTTGTAAGCAACAAACGGAGAAACATGTTCGAAAACATTTTGCAGGATATCGAAGGAAGGCAATCCAGTGTAGAATTTAACTTTTTCTTCGTTTTGTACAAATTCCCACCGATCAAATGGTTTCCGGTCAATGTTTAGAGAGCTGAATAATTTTCAAACTCTTCAGTTTGTGTGCCAGCTTCAACTGTTAATTTTTTCTCTTCGTCCTCATTTCCTTCAAAGCTGAGGTTTGAAACCTGTTCACCGGGCTCATTAAGTTTCTGTCTCTTCGCCGTTCGCTCTAGTTCTAGCTCTCGTTCTCTCTTTTCAAAAGCCGGCTTCTACACCAGTTCACGTTCCCTCGCTCTCTCGCTTCGTTTTGCTGCCGCTTCTTTATGATCTGCTCGATCAGTAGCTTTCTTGTGTCCCAAAAGCAATGTCGGAACCCAGTCAATATTAAATTTATCCCAGCTCTTAGCTGCCCTTCCTGAAACAAAATGCTTTTCGCACACACGATCGTTTTCTAAGATCTCTTCGGTCAGATCGTCACGGCTTATCGCTGAAATCCAGCGCGATCTTCTTTCTTCGGATAGTTTCTGTGCCTCTTCGCCTTGATTTGTGACCACAGAAGGCACCCTTGCAAAGTACAACCCTTTATCTCGTCCACTTTTGCTGCCACAGCCAACAATCAGACACAAAACCATGTTCCACGCGAAGGACGCTACTAGTTTGTTTACAATTGAGGTACACCAATATGGCGGCGAAGCAACGGTAGTCAAGGAATTGGTCACGTGAGTGAAAACGATCTATTATATCAGGTCAATCAAAGTTATTCATTTTCTAGCCTTGTTATAAGTAAAAGAATCTAATTGTGATAGTATTAAGTGTTGGTTTTCTACCTACTTTGTACGATATAAGTTCTTGTTACACTCTGACCATTTACGCTGGTCTGATTTCTTCACTTTCTTTTCCCACTGATTGTTGAACGTCGAAACGTTGAAAGTTGAAGTTCCTGCTTCTTGATCCCTGTCAGCACACATTTGTTCAGTGCCTGGCATTATTAATGAAAGAAATTATTTTGAAAGAAATTAAATTAAAATCTGACCTAAATAAAGACTAAAACATGGAGATCATTTGCATCACTACTACTGGTCATTTTGCTTCTTTCCTACTAATTAATGAAAACATGATAAGCACAAAAGTTATACAGAGTGTGCCTCATGTTCAGTTAATTTAAAATTTGCACTGTCAGGACTACATTATTTTATCCAGAAGGAGCAAAGAAATCCAAAATAGACTATTGCAAAGTAACTGAATTAACTTGATCAATTTCTGGCTCTTGGAGAAATGCAATTAACTTCCCAAATATCCCGCTGGTAGAAAAGTTAAATCCTCACAGTTATTTTACAGTACTGCTCAAGACCAAGGCTTACTTGCTGGTTGAATTACTTCCTGAAACACATGGATAATTTCCAGCTGTCTCCCAACACTCGTTATGCCAATATCTTTTAACACTTGGCGGTCCGCCATTGGTAACGACTTTCCGGAAATTTCGGCTCCTGTCAAAGTGCAACGTAAAACTGAACTGGATCAAAGCTTAAATTTAAGCTCAGTTATATCAGGGTCCACTTATCACAAAATTTGCTGCATATCAAGTTCCAATATTGCGGCAGCACATACCTTTCATAAGCGAAATTTCTTCCTTTTTAAATTTGTCAGTGTCTGTTATCCACTGTGTTCTGAGAATAAAGATTTAAGAAAAATATGCTTGTGCACAACCAGCTACAGTACGGCAGTAGGTTTATAAAGCAGTGCGAACTATTTATGCACCTATCATCGGCCATCCCCTGGGGGGGGGGGACCCCGGGCAAGGGTGGGGACTTTGTAAAGGACCCTGTCAAAGTTCTTATTTTCCCCCTCCTAGGTGGGGACACAGAGGAATCAAAGTTCCCCTCCACTGGAAAAATTATCAAGTTTCCATGCATGTATTATTTATGGTTTTTTGGTGGTTTTGCTGTGGTTTTTAGCAAAATACCATGTGTGGAAAAAGTACTCTTTTTCCACACATGGTTTTTGCACAAATCCACTGATGGTTTCTAAACTTTCCAAATGTGGAAATTATGCATACACAACATTGGGATTTATCATGGTAATTGGAATTCCCAAGAAAGGAAATCGCAATGTCCAAGATTACTTATCCCACTATGGAAAATGAAATACCATGGCAGGTTTTTCTATGGTCAAGCCCACAGATGGATAAAATTTACCACACTTGGAAAGTGGTTTTGTAGGGAAGCATGTTAATCACAATTTCCATGGAAGGAAATCTAGATTTCCAATGGAAAGGACCACGTTGTGGTCACTTTAATTACCATGGCAGGTTTTTCTATGGTCAAGCCCACAGATGGATAACATTTACCACACTTGGAAATTGGTTTTGTAGGGAAGCATGTAAATCACAATTTCTATGGAAGGAAATCTAGATTTCCAATGTAAAGGACCACAGTGGTCACTTTAATTACCATGGCAGGTTTTTTGTAATGAGGCGAGTAGTGATTGAAATGTACTAAGTGGTGTATTTTAAAGTAAAAGTCACAACAAAGAAGCATTTAAGTAATAAAATTTATAATTTCGTATATGCAACAATGTACTGTAACTGTAAAGTACAAAAAAAAAAAATACCAAGTACATTGAAAACCAATCTGGTAGTTAAAAGATTGCGACTGAGGAACTGACCCAGCCTGTACAAGAAACCTTTTCCTTTTTAAGATGATCTCTGACCCTAGGCCAACTTCCAGATGAGCAATGTTTAAGATTAAGAGCACACACAATTGCCCAGATAATGGAGTTCTTTACTAGCTTTTTTAGTTGTTTCAACCGCCAAAATATCTTGAAGATCTCTAAACAATTGCAACTGACAGGGTTTCAATGCATTATCACAGGATGCCTGTGTGACTTTCAAAGTGAAAAACATCCATTACTTCAACATTAAACCGTATGTTGGATAAAAGGCAATTGTGTAGCTCTGATTTATATATAAGCTCAACAATTTTTACAAAATATGATCAACAGAAAACATCAACATTATTTGTCCATGTACATGAAAGGAGTCCATACATTTACAGATAATTTTTTTTGGCCACTTTTAACTGATCTCTCCTTTGTCCACTTCCACATAACCATGTTCCAGGAGAGCATTTGCTGTTGCCGTTATATAGGTCTTTTTGTTTTTCCTTTTAGGAAGTTTAACACAACATTCTTGAGATTTTTTAATTCCTTGGATCTTTGTCACAGATGGCTTGACCAATGAAACCATACTAGTATCGCACAGTCACATGATGCCTGTACATGTGTGACCAGTTCTGTAGTCAGGCTCAACATTTCTTACAAAATTTGATCCATAGTAATTTAACATCAACATGTGTCAGTTCTGCAGTCACTGGCTCAATTATTCTTACAAAATATGAACCATAGTAAACATCCACATAATTTGCACATGTCCATGTACATGAAAGGAGCTAGCGCTGTCTATACATTTAGAGATCAATCTTTTTGGCCACTTTCAACTGGTCTCTCCTGAGGTTGGTAAGGTCTCCCTCTTTATCCACTTCAACATACCCATGTTCCAGGAGAGCATTCGCTGTTGCCCTTGTATAAGTTTTTTTATCTTTGCCTCTTAGGAGGCTCAGCCCAAACAATTTTTTGAGCTTTTCTAGTTCCTTGGATCTTTGGACATGCATCACAGATGGCTTGTCCAAGGCAACTAAAATAATGCAGTCGCACGATGCCTGTGTCAGTTCTGTAGTGGAAATTAAATGAAAAGATAAATTAGATTAGATACTGGCATAAAACAATCACAACAGAATACATTTCTATAACTAAACTGAATGCGGCACCCCCTTTATATACTAAATTTATAAGTTTACAAAGAACTTTTGCACCAGTTCTAAAGTACTCCCACTCTCCTGCATGCAGGGAAGAAAAAACTTTCAGAAAACTTACAAACCATATTGGCAAACAGTACACAATTGGCCAAATGCAACATTTGTCATAAAAAAAATGATGTCATACATTGAATTCTGGGTACATGGATCAGTCATAACCTAGTTTGCTTTTCATGAATTACTAGGAAATTTTTTAAGAAAGTGTTTTGCTCTCAGATTCTCGTACAAACACAGTAAATTTGAGGCTGACTGATCTACCTACCCATAATTCAACACGTCACAGTTGCCATCATGAATCAGGGTTCGTACCCTTTTTCAGAAACAATTTTCCAGGACTTTTCCAGGACTTTTCCAGGCTTCAGATTATTTTTCCAGGACTCCAAAATTCACCTTAACTCTTTCACTCTCATAAGTATAAAAGATTCATTTCTACTTTCAATTTCAACACATTGTCAGACATACAAATGAGAACAAAGAAAACAGAGAATATCAACTTCTTTCATTGAACTCTTAATATCTCAGAAGTAACATCAGAAATCCGTGACTGATACTAAGTAGAATTAATATTCACATCTTGGGATTCAAAGTGGGGTTAATTATTTTTCAGCTCTTGGAGCTTTCCTTCCAACTGCTCTTCAATGTCCTTTAAGACTGCCCTTTTTTCCTTGGCAGATCTTCGCAAACTGTTTGATTTGGCAACCCAAGTAAGGTTTCTTGAATCTTCAGCCCTATCTGCAAATTCATCTGCAGTCTTTAAAAGAGCCTCTATATCAGTTTCAATTTGCCGTTTTTTCTTCTTCAGCACATCAATCCCATCCATTGCTGCCTTTCTTTTAAGCGTGTTTTCCTGGGACACTTTAATTCTCTTCTGCTCTTCTAGATAGGAAATATATTTCTGTCGCGCTCCAGCAGATGCCATAAGTAGTTGCTTTGAGATTTTTACATTGGCAAGGCCTCCAACTGATTCAATATGATCATGAATAATCCTCTGTGCAATGAACGATCTTTCCGACAGGTTCAACTGCCACTTCTTTGTTTACAGAAAATCCTCTTTCAACTGTGGCTTGACCATGAGACATTAGCAGCAATAATTCAACTACCCCCCATGCTTTTGCCAGTTGCTTATTACCAGCCATGTGTTCATATAACAGTGTGTCGACTCTTAAAGAGGATTCACTAGGGTCAAAATCTTCAAAGTCAGGATTACCTGCACATTCATCCAAAAACTGTCCAAACTGATATATCACCTCATCACACTCATCAGCCTTCAATCTGTGGGCTTCCACAAGAATTTCAAGAACTCTTTTCATTTTTTTGACACATCCTTCTTTCTCTGATGCCATTAGCCTTGGATCCAGACAAGACATACTTCTTACTAGTCGATAATTTATTGGTGTTTTGTCAAGCAGTTTAGAGGCTGTTTTTGCAAGAAAATCTTTACATTCCATTCTGAATTGAAGAACTTGCCTTTCACTCAATTTCCCAGATTTTTCTTTCAGCATGTGTTGTGCCACAAAGCCAACATCAACTTTCTGGTAGTCTAACTGCTGTTCTTTATCAGTGGGCTTCAACCTCAGGATCTTCAGAGGAGATGTTGCCTCGGTAACAAGTTCACCCTTGATAAACCTATTCAACAATGATTTCAACAAAGTGTACAAACTGATACTCATGAATGGCAGCATAGGTTTATCAGTCTGAAATGCTGTGAGAAAAGGATTGATCTGTTTTGCCACTGATGAGAAGAAGGCAATCTTTGCTGGCATCAAGGGATCACAGCAACTACTGCTAATGGTCT